GGAGATATCTGTTTTTTATCGATTCGTATGTCTGCCACCGTTCATTCTTTGAGGGTAACCGTAATTCTCGGCTGGCGTTTATGGCCTTCGGTTGCCTGGACACGAGTGATTTTCTTCCAAATGAACTCTCTCAGGACGTCCGGCTGTTTTAATCCATCCATGGTCTTTTCCGCAATGATTATCCATGCCGTATTGCTGGCTCTTCATTAGCAGTAATGCCGAACGGGCGGCATCGTCCAACGTTTGGAGAGCTATAGTCAGCGTGGCACGCGGTGCCACAGCATGCCACACATGGTTCATGCCCACTCCGCGCTGGACTATCCTGCAGCTCCGCAACGCCTGCTGACGGTCTACCTTGATGCGCTTTTGAAATTCGGAGGCATAATCCAGAATGGTGTCTACTTACGCTAAGGAGTTCATTGATTCCTCCTTGACAATTCCATATCATTCATCAGATGCTCACTGATGAGGTCGTTTTTGCGCCCGAACACTCGTAATGTGTTTATGTGATTGTCGTTTGAGATTATGCTGTCGGTATAGGAGGCCTACACAGGTTTTCCAAATCAACAAGTATTGCTTTAAACGATGCTATAGTATCCATCGAAATCGGACTTATTGACGATCAGTAACCGGATAAATATCGGAAATGACCTTTCGAATCCAACGCCGTGAGCTTTTTACAGGGAATACAGTATTTGAAAACAACGCGGCGCGTGGGATGACAATTAATAGATTTGTACTTTTACATTATAATACAGGGTTCGGGTTTATTCGGAACCAACGGTCCAATCAAGTCATATTTCACTAATTGTTTTACTTATCCGGACAAATGAAGTTGTCGTAGTTTCAGAGCTTTGGTAGAAAAATATATAAAATTCCAAGACACACGATCGATAGTTCATTAAAACGTAAGTGATTATGCCCAAGATATTCGGTCACTTTCTTTGTGTAACTGTCGAGCTAACACTTCCAACATTTCCGATGATTTTCCGGGTAGATAGATGCTTTTCGGCAATGAGCCTTGTAAAGAAATGAACTGGGAATGTTTTCCGCTTGGTGCAAATGCTAACGAAATGAATCATTTCATAGCAAATGCCGATATTCGCTGTGATTCCGCGAAAACAGGGTAACGCACCTAAGCACAGAAGCCAAAAGGAATTTCCTGAGAGAAGTGGAAAAACGTTTTCCCATATTCCAATTGGAAAAAAGAAAACGCTGCACGGTTTGTATCAGGGCATATTTCGCTGCACGCTACACATTACGTAATAATCATGTTCGCAATAAACGCACAAATATGTCGGTAAAATTATATCACTGTCATGGTTCTTACTCAAGCAACGCCAAATTAACCAGTAAGTCATTTGTTTATAGAAATAAGCCTCACATCAGAATACAAGGAATGTGAATCAGTGTTGGACAGGGACACGAAGAACGAGCTACTTTTGGCGAATCGATGCACCACCTCAAGCAAGTCACGTGATATTCCAAACAGTGATGTCTGTCAGATCAGTACTTTTTATCACTTTTCCATGATCTATGATGGGTATCGGATAAACCGTCAGTTTATTTTGTTGTACTGTGTCCTATGTTTTCGCTTGTGTGTATTTGATAAACGTCATTCATGCGGTTATTTGAAAGGACGCTATTTCGGTTTCTGCTTTCCAGAAACACTAAAGAAACGCACCAATCGTACGAAACCTCAACAATCAGAAACCTGCTAATGCTTTTGATAAAATAAAGCAGAATCATTTTTTGTTGTTCAATTTTACTCCATGTGATCATTCGAACACTCCGAGGCACAACGGTTTTGCCGACGCAAGTCGGTTAACAGAGTACATGGTTTGTGTTTTTATAACCCTAGATGAAGTACTTAAAAACAACTTTAAAGTATTGACGCGGGAACAATGGAATAAATGATCTCAGGCATAATGCGGATGTATATCACCCACATATTCTGTCTGAATCATCCAATCGTGGATCATGCGCCAAAACTAATCATAAATTACTGATTATACCGGTGATAAATTCTAAAGTCAGTGAAACATTTCTGACTTTCGTGAGTCACTGTTTCACAAGCACTTTCGTGGAATAAACTATACATCATTAAGTAGCACAAATCTAAGTATTCTATGATAAAAAACGAGAACAGAATGCACGTTCATCAGAATTTCTGAGCATTTCGATGAAATGCCTATGAAAATTGTGAAGCCACTTTGATTACAAATATGCGGTAAAATCGACAGTTGTTCAGATAATAGACTGATCATGAAATCAATTGTGCGAAGTTTATTTTAGTTACACCCAACAATATGATTTTTTTGAGTGATATAGAATTTAATCTCCGGTAGAATTTTTGCGGTGGATTCGTTTCACGAAAACGTCCCTCTGGATTTATTGACAATTCAGTGTCGCGAGGTTGTTCTGATATGGAACAGTATTATAAAAAACGACCGTTTAACAAACATTGCATTGTGATGTAAATCGATGAGTATGAGTTTATACAGTCCAAGTTCAGCCACACTGAAATTCATTTTCAATGTTGAATTTAGGATTCACTGTCATAACCACATACCGAGATAAAACGATCTTCCGTGTCTGTTAAATGGTGATTTCGAAGGCTGTGAAGCATTCCATCCGCCGAGTGTGAGTGATTTTAATCGAGATCCACGATTGGAAAGTCATATGACCAACACTTGTGCTAGACGGTTCAATGACGCAC